GCGCTCCAGCCGCGCGCCGCCGCCGCCGCGCTAGGCCACACTACCGCCGCCGCCGCCGCGTCCGGCCTACCTACCGCCGCCGCATACTTTTCCTCCTCCTCCTCCTCCTCCTCCTCCTCCTCCTCCTCCTCCTCCTCCTCCTCCTCCTCCTCCTCCTCCTCCTCCTCCTCCTCCTCCTCCTCCTCCTCCTCCTCCTCCCCGCATCCCAGCACGCGGAATTCGCCCACAGCGCCGGAGGACAATGGGCGCGGCCGGGGGGCGTCACACCTTCGTCTTGGCCGCGTTCACAGCGAGGGCCCGCGCGTTCAACCTTTCAGTGAGGTCCTGGATGAACTGCTCAGTTTGCGCGGCGGGCACCAACGCGACGAGGTCGTCGAGGTGCGCCGTGACGAGCCAGCGCGGCGAGCCTGCGAAGTGCTGCAACGTCGTCTGGCGGAGGGCCGTTGCGTAGGCTGCGGGGCTCAGGAGGCAGCCCTGCGGTACCCCGGCCCCTGTGCGGAGCTCGCGCAGGTCCCCCTCGCCGTCGCGACGGAGCCCCACCGCGGGCTTTGCGCAGAGCCGGGCGAGCAGGCTGCCGTACTCTGGGAGGACCGCCCACAGCGCGGCGAGGACTGCCAGGCGAGAGACCGTGCCGAAGGCGTTGGTGACATCGACGTCGACCAATATGCTCCCCGGTCGGCCGTGGATCGCGCATTAGAGAGCCCGGAACTGGCCGTCCGCCCCCCTGGGAACCCCGATCCACTACTGGAGCGGACCAGCGGCGGCCTGCGTGGCATCCGCGGCATGGGCGACGAAGCCCCTTAGGACGAGGCGGCGGAAGGGCGCGAGGACTGCGCGATGCGAACCCCGCTGGCGGGTTTGTGGAGCGCTGTGATCGTGCCCGTGTTTACCCAGTCGTCCGCGATTGGCAGCGCGGTGCCTTCCACCCACGCGAGGGCGGCGTCGGACAGGACAGCGGCGGCGTCGGCGTCGGCGGCAACTGCCATCCGGCCCTGGCGCGCGGCCAGAGCGGGCTCTTCTGAAGGCTCTGATGATGGCGCCTCCTATACCGTCTCTGGTTCACTTCGGGAGAAGTGCTGCGACGGCGCGTTGCTGCCTCTGGCCCCACGTGTTCTGCTCCAGGAAGAGAGCCCGGAGTTGGTCGCGTGTGCCGCTCCCCTTGGCCACCCGGCCTGTCTGGCGCAGAGCGGCGACTGCCCCCGCCACCTGCACGTCGTTCAGCATCGCGTGGACACGGCGCACTTTGCGGCCGATGCTGCTGGTGTCGCTGCTTGCTGGCGCAGCCTGGAGTTCCCGCCCGTAAGCTGCGTCCCAGGGGTGCTGCCACTCGCCACGCCAGAAGGCCTGCAGGCGTGTGGCGATATCATGCTGGATGCGTGCCGCCCGCTTGCCGTTGGCTCCGCGCCCGCCGCGTGCTCCAGTGGCGGCAAAGACCAGGCGGGGGGCGAAGATTTCCAACTTCCATGTCCTTTCACGCTCCTGTTGGGTGCTCCCGTGCGCGCTCTGCCCGAGCGCCGCGCTCATGGCCTCGGCCCGAGCAGACTCAGATTAGGAGGCACGCGCCGCACGGTGACCACTCTCTGCCCGAGGGAGTGCCAGGTGACGGACATCCACGTTGTCCCACCTGGACACGTTCGACAGCTGGGCAGGCGGGAGACCACCCACGCCCCCTTGGGACTCGGCAGCCAGGGGGTTGGGGACTCCCTCTGGCTGGAAAGCCACGGCCTCAGCCTCAAGCTATGCCGCTGCCTTGCCGAGCAGGGCCCGCACGCGCTGGACCTCCTCCTCCTTCTCCTCCTCATCCTCCTCCTCCTCCTCCTCCTCCTCCTCCTCCTCCTCCTCCTCCTGCTCCTCATGTTCCTCCTTCTCCTCCTCCTCCTCCTCCTCCTCCTCCTCCTCCTCCTCCTCCTCCTCCTCCTCCTCCTCAGGTACCCTGGGGGCCCCGTGGAGCGTCGCTGAGCGCCGCCACCGTGCTCCGACGCAGTGCCAGTGGCATAAACCTCACAACCCCCACCACCGCCACCACCGCCACGCAGTGAGCAGCCAGATCAACATCACCACACCCACCACCGCCACCATGACACCACCGTCTTCGGGCGTCGGGCGACGGGCTTCTCCTCCTCCTCCTCCTCCTCCTCCTCCTCCCTCCTCCTCCTCCTCCTCGTGCTCCTCCTCCTTCTCCTCCTCCTCCTCCTCCTCCTCCTCCTCTCCCTCCTCCTCCTCCCTCCTCCTCTCTCCTCCTCCTCCTCCTCCTCCTCCTCCTCCTCCTCCTCCCTCCTCCTCCTCCTCCTCCTCCTCTCCTCCTCCTCCTCCTCCTCCTCCTCCCTCCTCCTCCTCCTCCATCATCGCATCATCAGCATCATCATCATCATCATCATCATCATCATCATCATCATCATCATCATCATCATCATCATCATCATCATCATCATCATCAGCATCATCATCATCATCATCATCATCATCATCATCATCATCATCATCATCATCATCATCATCAGCATCACCATCAGCATCAGCATCAGCATCAACATCACCATCATCATCATCATCATCATCATCATCATCATCATCGTCATCGTCATCATCATCATCATCATCATCATCAGCATCAGAATAATCATCATCATCATCAGCATCACTATCACCATCATCATCATCATCACCATCATCATCATGATCATCATCATCATCATCATCATCATCATCATCATCGTCATCCTCATCAGCAGCATCATCATCATCACCATCATCATCATCATCATCGTCATCATCGGCATCATCATCATCATCATCATCATCGTCAGCATCATCGCCATCAGCATCATCATCATCAGCAGCAGCATCATCGCCAATATCAGAATCATCATCATCATCAGCAGCAGCATCGTCGTCATCATCATCATAATCGTCATCAACATCACCATCACCGACAGCAGCAGCATCAGCATCCGAATCAGCATCAGCATCAGCAGCTTCAGAATCTACATCATCATCATCAGAATCATCGTAAGCATCATTATCAGCAGCATCATCATCAGCAGCATCATCATCAGCATCATCATCATCAGCAGCATCATCATCAGTATCGTCATCGTTATCGTCATGGTCATCACCATCAGTATCGTCATCATCGTCAACATCGTCATCATCATCATCATTTTCATCAGCACTATCATCATCATCATCAGCATCATCATCATCAGCAGCAGCATCCTCACGATCGGCATCATCATAAGCATAATCAGCATCAGCAGCATCATCATCATCATCAACATCGTCATCACCATCAGCATCGTCATCACCATCATCATCATAGCAATCATCAACATGATCATCAACATCAGCACCATCAGCATCAGCTGCATCATCATCATCAGCATCCTCATCATCAGCAGCATCACCAGCATAATCATCACAATCATCATCATCATCAGCATCGTCATCATCATCATCATCACCATCGTCGTCACCAGCATCATCATGATCATCATCATCAGCAGCAGCATCGTCACCATCATGTGCAGCATCATCATCAGCACTATCCTCACCATCCTCAGCATCATCATTATCATCATGAGCATCATCGTCATCAGCAGCAGCATCATCATCAGCATCAGCATCATCAGCAGCATCATCCGCATCATCATCATAATCAGAATCAGCATCATCACCATCAACATCAGCATCATCTGCATCATCAGCAGCATCATCACCACCATCATAGTCATCATTCTTCATCATTCATCATCATCATCCTTCCTCCCTCCTCCTTCTCCTCCTCATCCTCATCCTCCTCCTCCTCCTCCTCCTCCTCCTCTTCCTCCTCCTCCTCTTCCTCAGGTGCCCCGCGAGCCCTGTGCAGCGTCGCTGAGCGACGCCATTGTGCTCCGACGCAGTGCCAGTGGCAGAAACCTCACCACCCCCACCATCGCCACACAGCCCCTCACCAAGGAGCAGCCAGATCAACATCACCACACCCACCACCGCCACCATCACCACCAGCATCGTCGTCGGGCGTCGGGCGACGGGCTTCGACGTCGTCGTAAGCCTCCTCCTCCTCCTCCTCCTCCACCTCCTCCTCCTCCTCTCCATCCTCCTTCCCCTCCTCCCCCTTCTCCTCGACCTCTCGACCTCCTCCTCCTCCTCCTCCTCCTCCTCCTCCTCATCATCATCATCATCATCATCATCATCATCATCATCATCATCATCATCAGCATCATCATCATCATCATCATCATCATCATCATCATCATCGTCATCATCATCATCATCGTCATCATCATCATCATCATCATCATCATCATCATCATCATCGTCAGCATCAGCATCAGCATCAGCATCAGCATCAGCATCATCATCATCATCATCATCATCATCGTCATCGTCATCATCATCAGCATCATCATCGCCATCATCATCATGATCCTCATCATCAGCATCATCATCATAATCAGAATCATCATCATTAGCATCATCATCGTCATCATCAGCAGCAGCGGCATAATCGTCACTTCTATCATCAGCAGCAGCATCAGCAGCATCGTCATCATCATCACCTTCATCATCATCATCAGCAGCAGCATCACAAACATCACCACCACCACCATCATCATCAGCATCAGCAGCGTCACCACAACCACCACCACCAACACCACCGTCATCAGCAGCAGAATCATCAGCAGCATCATCAGCATCATCATCATCGTCAGCAGCATCATCATCATCATTATCATCAGCAGCATCATCATCAGTTGCATCAGCATCATCATCATCATCATCATCATCATCAGCAGCAGCATCATCTTCTTCTTCTGCTCTCCTTCTCCTCCTCCTCCTCCTCCTCCTTCTCCTCCTCCTCCTCTTCCTCCTCCTTCCCCTCCTCCTCCTCCTCCGCCTGCCGCCACCTCCTCCTCCTTGCCATCCCATACCTCGCCGGCTTCGTCGCCTTCGCCGCCATTGCCGTCGCCACCGCCGCCGTCATCGTAGTCGTCGAGCGC